TCACTCCCTGGGCCCTAATGGAGCCTGGTACTTGGGTGCTTCTGGCTGAATCACCATGATGGTGACTATTACAGAGCATGCTATTAGGACTACAGGATGCAGAAATAATAGTTCTTGAAGTTCTGTAAAATGCAGAACAGAGGGGCTGGGGATGTGGCTCAAGCGGGAGCGCGCTTGCCTGGCATGCGTGCGGCCCGGGTTCGATCCTCAGCACCACATACCAACAAAGATGTTGTGTCCGCCGAGAACTAAAAAATAAACATTAAAAAATTTAAAAAAAAAAAATGCAGAACAGAATTTTTACATTAGAATTAATATTTTTCCTAATATTGCTCCTTTTGGTTGAAAAACTAGATCAGAAATTTAATAATCCACATTTTTTTTTCTTGAGATGAGGAATACTCACTGCTGTTTCCAGGAAGAATGCCTTGTGAGAAAGCCACAAGCTCATTAAATACACAGACATCCTCAGAACAAAAAGAAAGTGGAATAATTGATCTGCATAGAAACACAAATTTTAATTCCTTTAATGAATATATACTAGCTCCATTTTTTTTTCTATATGTCCAGCACTATTCTCAGTTCTAAAACCATGATAGTAGACAGAAATCAAGAAGCCAGACTTGGTGGCACTTCAGGAGGACTCCACATTTGAAGCCAGCCAGGGCCCCTTATCTAAACCCTGTCTCAAAATGTACAGAGATGGGTGTGCTGGGGATGTAGCTTAGTAGTAAAGTGTAAATGGGTTTGATCCCCAGAACTGCCAAAAACCCTCACAAATATCTTATTTTACAAAATACATAATCAAACGAAGTAGAAATGATTAAAAAATTTTAAAACAGAATTAGAAAGAAAATAAACACAGAGAATTAGTGGTGGCATCTTGGGACATCAGGTAGGATGCCAGAGAGTGTTTGGGGAAAGCCCCTGCAGAGAGCTATCAGCTGAGCAGGTGGCGTATATCACACAGTATTTAGAAGTGCCTGATAATCAGGTGAAGAACAAGTTCAATTTTCAATTTATTACTTTAGGATAGAAGAAACCCTGTCTTGTCAAAGACTCCGAACCCCTCCCGTCTCTTTGAAAAAGTCCATCCTTCTCCAGGCTGCCTACCTGTCCGAGTCTAGTGGGCAGAGTGAGCAGGCTTTCAACTTCCTGCCACAGAAGTTATCAGGTAGGTGTTTCCCTTCATTTACACCAGGTAATTATCATAATGACCTCCAAATAGACTTTCAAATGCATCATCTTCACTTTTTAAAAATATTTTTATAACTTTATTTTATTTATTTACTTTTTATGTGGTGCTGAGGATGGAACCCAGTGCCTCACCCGTGCTAGGCAAGTGCTCTACCACTGAGCTACAGCCCCACGTCTTAACTTTTGTGCATTCTGAATTCCCTATTTTAGTTCCTTTGTGAGCTGTACATTTTTAAAGAAATCTACTGCTTTTTAAAATGCATTACATAACGAATCTCATGGTTGCCTGGGACCACTGAATAATTTCTTTTAACAACCTGAGTTGACTAAGAAAGATGATTAGGAAGTTACTGGAAAGATACTCACATTTAAATTTACATGAGTATATATTAAGACTTTTTACCAATCAATGACAACACATATTTAAATTATTTTCTCTAACTAAAATAATCTAATTCAGGGTTTTTATTTTTGTTCAGAAATAAAATATTCATCTTAAGAAAAATAATTATTTACTTTTTAATTGTTTTGTGTAAGTGAAAGATATTTATTTCAGATGTTTAGCTGGAAAAGATTATATATATTCAAGGCATATATTATGTAATGTATATTCTGTGTAATGATTACCAGTGAAAGATATTTTAAAAATAAAAAAATATTCTACTTTGCAGTGAGACATTTAAAGATTGACACACAAATGAACAAACAGTAAATTGCAAGCAATACTGAATTGATTGGTACACAACAAAAGTAACATTTTGTGTTTTTCATTTTACATATGATTCCATAATGCCAATAAATTTGAAGCAGGCAATAGGCTTCTTTGAATTTGCACAATTTTGTGGAATTACCATCAATTTCAGCACTCCATGCCTTTCTCAAGATGTTATATTTCCCAGCTTATTTTGTGTGTCAAATATGTGGGAATGAGAACATATTAATCTATAGGAACCAGGAGGTCACTCTGTATGGTGACATCTATGAGACACACAATGCCCAACACACACACACACACACACACACACACACACACACACACCACTGCACAGTACAACACAAGCAGCACTGAATATTGAGTATTAAAAAAATGCACTTGGAGACCCCACCTGGAATTCCCACTTTCTGGGGTGAGGTTTGAGGACAACCCTGGAGTCTGGGGACACTGAGCAGAGTTGAGACAGAAGCAAAGTTGAAACCCCCAGGTCCAGGTAGGGTTGGGCACATCTGCACCCCTTTGTTCCCATCTGCTCTGCCAAGAGCCTGGTCACCTGATCTGCATACAACATCTACACAGCCAACCAAGTTCTTTCCTTCCTGGCTCTGGAGTCAACATGATGAGAATCAATGTAAACTTTAATGGTCTTTTTCTACAGCTAAAAAAAAGAGGGAGAAACAATTCAGAGAAAAAAGCACCCCTCTGGTACTAAGGGTAGAATGAGTGAAGCCACACACACACTTCTGGCTCCCAATCCTTGCCAAACTATCCCCACCAGCCATCAGGACCCAAGTTCCACATTAGCAGTAAGGTGAAGGTTTCTGGGCCATTGAGAACTTGCCAAACAGAGCGGACTTCCAAACTGAGACAAGAAACCACTAGAGGAACCTCTGACTGCTGTGCCTAAATTGAACCTACCACAATCCAGGAAGGTCCCTGTGTCATTGTACAAACTGTACACAGCACAGAGTGGAAAATTTGCACAAGGACACTCAAGAAATTATCAGGGTAAAAAAGGGAGCTCCTCCCCAGCCTCCCAGGTCCAATGTTTCAGAGGAGGGGCACCAGAAGCTACTGGGCCACTCACCTGCTAACAGGACACCCCTTCTTCCTTCAGATATACCTAGCACCTTGGACCACACCCAGGGAGTTCAGGCTAAGAAGGACAGCCAGCTTCTAGTTACTGGAACTAGGTGGCCTTTCGTTTATATTGAAAAATTTTTTAAATGAAGTCACAGGTTGCTTCACAATGGAGACAGGTGGTGAGAATGTATTGCTAGCAATTTACTTGTCTGAATATCAGAGCACATATTTACACAAACTAAGACAGCCATGATGTCATTAGGTGATACAGAAATGTCGATATGCAGTGTAAGACTCATACAAAGAACATTACATTCCTGAATACCTAAAATTAACTATCATCATATCATATTTGCTCCAAATTTCCTTTAAAAGAAGAAACATAAACACTATTTCACATTATACTCTTCCAAACACCTCAGTCCCAGTTGGGCCTAGCATATGAATATCAGGGCCTTGATGGGCATGCTCAGTTCATTATTTTATAATTTTCTAGGCACGTACTTGAACACAAGAACAACATAAGGTTCTGTATATGTGGGAAATTTAGAAAAGGGTATATATTTTATGTACTTTGCAGTTTTGCTTCCATGGATTTTGGAACTTATGCAAAGATTTGGGTGATTTCCATCAATGCTTTCCTTCCGTTATTCCATTGTAACAAAATGATCATATGAACACAGATGCTACATGAAAATGCAGTCTGTGACTTCTGAACTCTGTGGGTACAGGAGCCTGGGGTTACTGGGTGGGTCTTGATACAGGGATGTGCCAGAGTGCCTCTATGGTGCCATTCCAGAACAAGCACACCAAAGCAAGTTAGGATTGACCCACTATCTCCCAACCCCTGATTCAAAAGACTGGTTACTTTTACAAAATCTCAAGGGTAAAACAGTACTCAATATTTGTTTTAACTTGACAATATAAATCAGAAAGCATAACACAATTTCTTTATTAAAATGAATGCTATATGCAATCCTTTTATATGGGAGGACTAACATTTCCATTAGAAAATGAATATTATGGGCTGGGGCTGTAGCTCAGTGGTAAAGCACTTGCCTAGCAGGCATGAGGCTCTGGGTTTGATCCTTAGCACCACATAAAAATGAACAAAAATAAATAATTTTTTTTGAAGTAAATGGGTGTTATGATATAGCCTAATGTAAGGATGGACTTAGGCCTCCTAAGCAACTCCATTTTAAAACTCCTCTTTGAAACCTGCAATCTCACCAGGCATTGTATGGAGCCCTCCAACATGGTCATCAGACATAGCCTGACATAAATAAGTCACTTCTCACCACCCTGACAAACTCAGAGTGAAGTCTCTGTCATGTTGCCCTCACCCTGATAAGGGTGAGAGGCAAGAAAATCAGGGAGGGAACCACCAGACCAGATGCCTTTACCTCAGGACGAGTGTCGTCACTGAGAAATCTGGTAGCAGCTGATAGGGATTGAAAGGGTGGCCAGAAGCCCCAAAATTTAGTATAAATGATGGAGCAAATGAACAGACATTCAGCCAGCTGACACTGATGTCCACATGCCAGAGAGCCTGATGAGGACCAAAACTGATATCCCAACTCTTCTCATCCTTTGCCTGATCCTCTGCATCATCCTCACCACTCTCAAACTCTACAGCCACATCTTGACCCTAGTGAGAACTGCAACTTCTCTCTACGACCCTCTCCTCAACCAGCCATCAGCTCCACCCCAGGAGAAACCTCCCCTGGTTCCTGACCTAATCTCCAGGGTCTGAGTGAATGTGCATCTGCTGGACTTACAGCTTGAGACTTTAGATCTGGCACTTGAGCTTAGCACACAGAAGGAATGTCTGTCATGAGTCTGTCATGATTAAGTGTGTTTGCAGTGCTTAGAATTAACCTAGAATTGTGTGCTGTGGATTGATTATTGCAGTGCCTAGCATTAAGGATTGTCATTTTCTTGATAAAGAACCTATAGAGTAAAATTGTATTGAGTGCTTTGAATGAATAAAGCATTGAAAAGGGCAGAAGCATGTGGACATTCTTTATTTCTCTCCATCAACACGTAAGTCTCACCTTTGCCCATCACGACACCTATGAAACAAACATTTAGAATATTAATTAAATAACTCATAAATATTATTGGTTAAAATCTAAAATATATACAAATCTTTTAAAATAAACTGTATAATAAATATTTTTAAATATAGCATTAAGAATGGATAATTTCTCAGGACAAAAACTAGTTTAAAATATAGGCTGAGGCCCCCATGCCCCACCTCCAGAGAGGAACTCCATTTCTACACAGAGAGGAACCCCACGCTGTGGTTCCCTACACCAACATGTGGCAGCACCCAAAGCAACTCCCTCTTGGGACCCTGCAGCCACTGCCATAGCCCTTCCCACATAGTAATTTCCACTGTGGGACAATGAACAGGGCCAGGAGGCAGCTGCCCATTGCAGCTCCAACTATAGTGTGCCATCATCAAACAGGCCACCCAACACCATCATGCAGCCCATCCTTCCATCCCCATCTTGGGACATCTCCAATGCCTTATTGGGTTACCTCCGCTGCCACCTCTGCCACCTTTAGTTGGGGCAGATTCTATCTTGGGACACTGACTGAGGCCTGAAAGCCCAACAGCAAGGTACCTTCAGGCTTGACGCTACTGCCACCACCAACTAGGGACGTGGATGCTTCCGTCTAGAGACAACAACCATGCCCTGAAAGACCATTACCAAGGTCCTTGTGGGCCCAGTAGAGGTATCACTACTAGGTGTGCTTACAGTCACCATCCTGTTGCAGAGGCAACAGGGACTCTTGCATAGGTTCACCTCTCTCTCCCTTTTTAAAAAAACCTTTATTTTTTAGTTTTTTAAGTGGACACAATATCTATATTTTACATTTATGTGGTGCTGAGGATCGAATTCAGTGTCTCAAGCATGCTAGGCAAGCACTCTACCACTGAGCCACAACCCCAGCCCCTCTCCCTTTTTTTTCTCCTGATAACAGCCAACTTCTTTTGATTCCCCCTTCACTCATCCTATAATCCAATACCTCCATATTCTCACATTCTATCTTATAAACATCACAACCTACCTTTGCCCTCTCTCTGTCCACCACTAGAAACCATAAACCTTTATGCAAACTTACTGGATTTATGGTAGAAGATAACCATACTTGTCATTTCTGTTTATAGCAGCAAAACTGTGTCTAAATAGAAGCTAATTGATTTATGGCTGCATATTAGTTGCATTGGGTGCTGTAAACATTGACCTCGCCCTTAAAGGTGAGGTATTCGTAACCTGCACGGAAACTACAAGACTATAGGATAGAAACTGCAATACCTCAGATCTGCACTAGAAGAGAGGAAGACACAGAGACAACATGAAAAAACAAGGGAAAAAATGCCCCAAACAAACCAAGATATTATAATAATAGAATCCATTGACAGCGCAGTATTTGAAATGACAGAGGAGTTTAGAAGGTACATAATTGAAGGTCTGGGTTGAAAAATCTGCTGATAATTAAAATGATCTGCAAATTAAAGAATGACCTAAGAGAGCAAATACAGGCAAAAATTGATCACTCCAACACTGAGATAAGAGAGTAAATACAGGTAGCAAAAGATTACTTCAAGAAAGAGAGATTTTGAAAAAAACCAAACAGAAATCTTGGAAATGAAGGAAACAATAAACCAAATAAAAAACTCAACAGAAAGCATTACCAACAGACTAGTTCATTTGGAAGACAGACCTCAGACAATGAAGACAAAAGATACAATCTGGAAAATAGAGTTGACTATACAGTGAAGATGGTAAGAAACCATGAACAAAATAGTAATAATTACGAGATAACAGCAAAAGACCAAATCTAAGATTTATCAGGATAGAGAAAGGCACAGAGTTTCAAGCCAAAGGAATGTACAATCTCTTCAATGAGATAGTATCAAAAAATTTCCCAAACATGAAGAATGAATTGAAAAATCAAATGTAAGAGACTTACAGGATACCAAATGCCCAAAATCACAATAGGTCTATACTAAAGCACATTATGAAAATGATAATATACAGAATAAGGTTAGAATTTTAAAGGCACAAGAAAGAAAATCAGATTACATATAGGGGGAGAACAATTCATATCAGCAGATTTTTCAACCCAGACCTTCAAGGCCAGGAGATCGTGGAACAACATATACTAAGCTCTAAAAGAAAATGGATGTCAAAGAATTTATATCCAGCAAAATTAAGCTTCAGAGTAGATGATAAAATAAAAGCCTTCCATGATAAACAAAAGTTAAAAGAATTTACAGCAAGAAAGCCTGCACTACAGAACATTCTTGGAAAAATATTCCATGAGGAGGTAATGAAAAACTGCAATGAAAATCTTCAAAGCAAGGAACTACACTAAAGGAAAGGCCAATCAAAGAAGAAACCAAGTCAAGTTAAAAACCAAAAATAAACCAAAATGACCAAGAATATAAAATATATTTCAATAATAATCCTGAATGTGAATGGCCTAAACTCATCAATTAAAGACATAGACTGGCAGATTGGATTTAAAAAAAAAAACAATATGCTGCCTTCAAGAGATTCATCTCACAGGAAAAGACATCCACAGACTGAAAGTGAAAGGATGGGAGAAAATGTATCACTCACTTGGACCATGTAAACAAGCAGGGGGTTCCATCCTCATATCAGATAAAGTGGACTTCAAATAAAAGTCAGTGAAAAGGGATAAATAATGTTATCATATGTAACAGGACATAACAATCATAAGTATTTATGATATACATAGATGCCCCCAAATAATGGGGCATCTATGTATATCAAACAAACCCTTCTCAATTTCAAGAATCAAATAGACCATAGCACAATAATATTGGGTGACTTTAACACACCTCTCTCACCACTGGATAGATCTTCCAAATAAAAAAATCCATCTAGTCCCAGGCTTTACTTGGTTGGTAAACAAACAAACAAACAAAAAAAACTATAGAACTCAATAAAATAATCAATAATTTGGACTTAAAAAACATATAAAATATTGCATCCACCAACCAGTGAATACACTTTTTTCTCAGCAGCACATGGATCCTTCTCCAAAATAGACCATATGTTATGTCACAAAGCAAGTCTTAGAAAATACAAAAAAAAAAAAAATAGAGATTCTACCTGCATTCGTATCGACCATAAGGGAATGAAATTAAATATCAATGATAAAATAAAAAATAGAAGCTACCCCAACACTTGTAAACTAAATAATACACTATGGAATGATGCATGGATAACAGAAGACATCAGGGAGGAAATAAAAAAATTCTTAGAGGTAAACAAGAAGTCTAATACAACATATCAAAATCTCTGGAATACTATGAAGGCAGTGCTAAGAGAAAAGTTCATTGCATTAAGCTCATTCATTAAAAAAAGAAAAAATCAACAAATAAATGACTTGACATTATATCTCAAAGCCCTAGAAAAAGAAGAACAAACCAACACCAAAAGTAGTAGAAGACAGGAAATCAATGAAATTGAAACAAAAGAAACAACTCAAAAAATTGACAAAACAAAAAACTGGTTTTATAAAAATAGAAATAAAATTGACAAACCCTTAGCCACCCTAATGAAAAGGAGAGAGAAAATTCAAATTACTAAAATTTGTGCTGAAAAATGAAATATCATGACAGACACTGTTGAAATACAAAAGACAATTAGAAACTATTTTGAAAATTTATACTCCAGTAAAATAGAAAACCTCAAAGACACTGACAAATTCCTAGAGGCATATGATCTACCCAAACTGAACCAAGAGGACATTCACAATTTAAAGAGATCAGTTTCAAGCAAAGAAGTTAGAAGACGCCATCAAAAGCCTATCAACCAAATAAAGCCTGGGACCAGATGGATTTTCAGTCAAGTTCTACAAGACCTGTGAATAAGAATAAATACCAATACTCCTCAAATTATTCCATGAAATAGAAAAGGAGGGAACCCTTCTAAACTCATTCTATACCAAAACCAGACAGAGACACATCAAGGAAAGAAAATTTCAGACCAATAGCCCTGATGCCAAAATTGAGATGCAAAAATCCTCAATTAAAATTCTGGCAAATGGCATACAAAAACATATTTTGAAAACTGTGCACCATGATCAAGTGGGGTTCATTCTAGGCATGCAAGTTTGGTTCAACATATGGAAATCAATACACATAATTCATCACATCAATAGACTTAAAGATAAGATCAATTGATGAAGAGAAAATGTTTGACAAAATACAGCAACCTTTCATGTTCAAAACATTCAAAAAATTAGGGATAGTAGGAACATAACTCAACATTGTAAAAAGCTACATATGCTAAACCCAAGGCCAACATCATTCCAAGTGCCATCAAAAGCCTACCAACCAAGTAAAGCCAACATCATTTTAAATGGAGAAGAATGAAAAGCATTCCCTCTAATAACTGGAACAAGACAGGGATGTCCTTTCTCACCACTTCTGTTCCACATAGTTCTTGAAACTCTAGCCAGAGCAATTAAATGGAAAAAGATATTAAAGGATACAAATAGGAAAAGAAGAACTCAAACTATCATTATTTGCCAATGACATGATTCTATACTTAAAGGATCCAAAAAATTCCACCAGAAAACTTATAAAATTAATAAATGAATTCAACAAAGTAGCAGGATATAAAATCAATACCCATAAAACAAATGCATTTCTATAATTCAGTGATGAATCCTCTGAGAGAGAAATTAGGAAAGCGACCCCATGAAGAATAGACTCAAAAAAGAAAGAAAGAAAGAAAGAAAGAAAGAAAGAAAGAAAGAGAGAGAGAGAGAGAGAGAGAGGGAGGGAGGGAGGGAGGGAGGGAAAGGAAAGGAAAGGAAAGGAAAAGAAAGGAAAGGAAAGGAAAAGAAAGGAAAGGAAAAGAAAAGAAAAGAAAAGAAAAAAACTTGGGAATCAATATAATAAAAGAGGTAAAAGACCTCTACAGTGTAAACAGAGAACACTAAAGAAGACCTTAGGAAATGGAAAGATCTCCCATGCTCCTGGATAGGCAGAATTAATATTGTCAAAATGGCCATACTACTC